TGAACTCAACTTCAAGTAAATAACTTGCTCCACCTATTTTCATAGAGTGGTCTTTTAGCATCAACTCTTTCCTACCATCTTTAATTCTAAAAATCCAGTATTTCTTTTACTTGTATTATTTTAGAATACAAATTTCGTCTGGAAACCCACAAGTGCATCTTGGGTTGGACTGGGTTGGACTGAAAATTTCAATAGTTAGGATCACATGCAGAAACAAACATATTTAGATTAGCATCTGAATGAGAATTTAGGCATTTTTCATGAAGAAACTGAATGCAAATACTCCAGAACTAATTTTAGAATCTTAGAACTAGAAGACGTCTTGCAAATGATCTTCAGAAATAGGAATTTTCTACTACAGTATTCCTTAAAAATGGTAACCTTGTGTCTGCTTAAATTCATTCAAGCAAGAAAAGCCCACACAGCAGCCTATTCCTAGTAATAGCTCTAGCAATTAGAAAATAAATCTTAATATTTAGCTGACAAGTCTTCTCAAGATTCCTACCCACTGTTTACAGTCCTGCCTTCTTCAGCAACATTTTGTCTGACACAGCCCTTCATATATTCAAAAGCTGTGATTATATCTTTCAATCTTTTCTACTCTGAGAAAAAGAACTGATTTAATCTAGTTAAATTGGTTTAATAGTAATTCTCTATATACAGAATCACAGAACAGGAGATAATAACTGTTTGAGATATAGATCGGTTTATTAATATCAGAGAATAAAACAACGTTGATAATGAGACAAAATAACTAACCCTGTTAGATGCTTATACATTTTTATTTAAACATCCTAGGAGATTTAATATGTTTTCTTGGAAACAGTGATTATTTATTACATTTATATGCAGACTTTCTGCTTAAGATCAATATTCAAGGAGGCTTACACAAAATATAAAACTTGATAGTAAAATCAACTGTAATTCAAATCTAAAATCAGTAACAATTAAAAGGATGGTGAGTGAAGTATTTGTCATTTTCCTAAATACTGGGAGTTGTTATTTAGTTACTAAGTCATGTCTGACTCTTCACTATTCCATGGACCACAGCCTGCCAGATGCACCTATTGTCCACTATCTTTTGGAGTCTGCTCAAACCCCTGCCCATTCCATCTATGACACTATCTAACCAACAACCCTGCTGTTCCCCTTCTCCTTTTGCCTTCAATCTTTCCCAACATCCAAGTCTTTTTCCAATGAGTTCTCTCTTCTCAAACTATTTGAGCTTCAGCTTCAGTATCTGTCCTTTCAAAGAACTGTTAGGGTTGGTTTCTTTTAGAATTGACAGATACTGGGAGAGTGAAGGTTAAATGCGCTGGGAAAACATTCTTTAATTTGGTATCCAAGAAGAAGGCTTTTTCTCACATGCTGGACAGCCAATCATCTGGCAGTGGGAACATCTCCAGAAGTTTAACCTGCAGCCTTTATTTTATTTTTCCTTATACAAATGTTTTACAATGTTTCTTGGGCCTATGAAAACCAGCTCTCCTAGCAACAGGAAAAAATAGTTTAAACCCAGTTTGTTTCCAAATAAATAAATAAAATGGGGCAGATAGAAACAATCTCTTCTGTGTGAAAGAATGGCTTCAAATCTGTTTCAGGTAGGGTAAGGGCAAAAAGTTATACAAATGGAAACCTTGATTTCAATATAAATAAGGTATGCATTTGAAATAAGGCAATCACTGGAGTTTTTCTTCTTCTTCTCAATGGTTTCATTAGCTTTTCTACAATCAATCTATTTATTAGAAGTTCCTTCAACCCTGAAGGCCAGTTGGGCCTGTTTTCTGTCCAGCTTGTCAAGAGAGGCCTGACACAACTTTATATACTCTCTCATCCATTAAAATCTGGCACTGTCCAAAGACTTATTTTTTTTTAATCCATTATTCATTGTGAAGCCATTGTATACTCTTAAAGCAAATCTAAATCATATTATAGTTCCAAGCACCTTTACAAAGAAAGAAATCACACTGAACAAGGTGGCATCTCATTTGCACAAACTTCATATTGTGCTATTTTTTTCCCACTACTATTAGTAGTGATGGCACTGTGCTGTTTTCCTATGGCTTGAGCCCACTGCTTCTAATTCTCCCACCCCCTGGAAGTGCTAAGTAATTATTCATTTCCAACTCTCTGGGCCATCTTTTTATTCATAGTAGCAATTTCCTTCAACTTTCATTGCTTTCTTTATTTTATAAAACTTCATTTAATCTACTTCCTAAATTTTCTTTGAGAGGGTATCATAAAAGGCTCTTCCTATCTTACCTGCAGTCTAGTGTATACACTGAAAATCGTATCACAATTTCTCATTACTCTATTTGTATCACTTATTACTCCAAGTAAATATAGGAAGTGAGTTAACTCCACTATGGGAGGGAAAAACTCATTTTGTCTGAAGTATTCTAAAGTGGTACTGGATTTGTGATGGTCTCTTCAAACACACAAATAATTTCCGATCAACCAAGGATAATGTATGCATTTTAAAAAACGCATTTTTTAAAAAATCCCTTATTTTTTTCCTAGTTCATTATCAATTGGCTAACACCCACCCCCCATTTTTCAAAATATTGCAATTCTGGTCCAACAAGTGCTCTAGAACACATCCCTGATGGAGATGCAGATGAGGTAGCTATATGTCTTAAGAGATTTTGGAAAAAAATTCCTGCTTCTTTAATTATTGTAGCACATTGACTCCATGTGAACCTTATTTCACTCTTCTAGTCTGTTGGTGTCTCCCTTCTTCTCCCTGGTCAATATAGGTGTGCTCTGTGTGTGTGTGTGTGTGTGTGTGTGTGATTTATTCAAAGACCTCACGTGGGTAAAGTGTAGACATATTCAAACCAGCAAGTCACACACTGGAATTCAGACGGGGGCAGGATGGTAGATGTTTATTAATGAGCATTGCTATTTCCTAATCTGATCAACACTTCTACCTGGTTCTCTCTCTCCCCACACTTCTTCTCTCCCATTCCCTTTCTCTCTCTTTTTCCCCATGTACTCCACTAACAGCTTGTTCTGACAGTCAACAAATGTTGGTTCAGTCTCTCAGCTAAATCATTTCTCTGAAGAAATTAGGCAAATTTGATGAAGGAGCAGATTGCGTCAATGCCACAAACCCAGACCAGCTTTCTGTAATTAGGTGCATTAAAATTCCAGGCATGTCTCTTTCTAAGCCAGGACTGGAGGGGTGGATAAAAAAATGAGGTAAATCCCTTCCTCTTCTCTCCCCCCCCCACAGCACCAAGAGCCCTAACCAACCCTGAATGATTGTGCTCCATCCTTTCCTTCACCCCTCCTGCCATGCAAATGGGGACTGAACCAGCTGCGGAGCAAGACAATCAAGTGTTTCATTAAAAAAAAAGGACCCAGTTCAGTATTGGCTGGGTAGGGAGGACAAGAAGAGAAAATGCCAGTTCCTTTCAAAAGAAAAGCCAAAGCATCCAATGGGAAAGAAGGAAAAAAGAATCCAAACTCTAGATTTCTTCAAACTCCTGGGAGGTTCACCTTGATTCCTTTTGCCACAATGCTTGTTGGGGGCAGGGGGAGATTGGATGCAATGGCTGAGATAGATAGATAGATTGATGATAGATAGATAGATAGATAGATAGATAGATAGATAGATAGATAGATAGATATGAGAGAGAGAGAGAGAGAGAGAGAGAGAGAGAGATGGAGAGAGAGAGATGATAAATATTCTGCAAGCATGGTTTCTTAAGAAGAGACCTTCTCTTCTTCCAGCCTTGTTCATCCATTTTCCTAAGATCTTCCAAATTCGGTGTTTCTGGAAAGTATTGAGGAAGCAATCTCAGATTTATAAAATGCCATCTTTCGCATACTTGGCCAAAATATTCTGATCTCCAAACCTTTCCAAGTGCCTCCTGCTTGACAAATTAGGGGGCAGATGAAATGGGGGGGGGAACTGTGGCCATCCCTGGTTGATCAGGTCTACAAAAATGCTTAAACAGAGAGAGAGAGAGAGAGAGAGAGAGAGAGAGAGAGAGAGAGAGAGAGAGAGAGAGAGAGAGAGAGAGAGAGAGAGAGAGAGAGAGAATCAGAATCCACCTAACGCCACACACCCTAATACCCAACCTACAACGCAGGTTGGTGAAAATGTTTGTGAGTCTCACTCCCCCAGCCTTCCCTAACTTACAAATGGGAAGCTGGTTGGCATTGGAACAACAATGAGAAACTCCTTCAAGGAAAATGAACAGCATCTGCCAGCCTGTATCTGTGTATTTTCTCTACCAAGATCTAGTTGTATGTCTAAACAAAAACGTGTGTGTGTGTGTGTGCGCGTGTGTGCGCGCGCGCGCGCGCAGGCAGATAGATAGATAGATAGATAGATAGATAGATAGATAGATAGATAGATAGATAGATAGATAGATAGATAGATAGATAGATAGATAGATAGATAGATAACCCCCATTTTCTAAATAGCAACCTCAGGGTTGACTGTGGGGGCAAGAGTGGGGAGGATGAAAGAGGACTCCTCCAGCGTTAATTTTGTCGGAATATCCACTCGTTTCAGAACATGAAGGACCCAACTCACGTCTCCGGGTTGAGCGTCCTGCAAGAATATTTATTCGGCACAAATTTCAGTCACTGCATTGAATGCCAGCCTTGGCAAGCGAATTGCAAGCGAAAGCCTGGATTCCCTCTCGTTCTCTCTCTCTCTTTTTCCGACTCTTTCATGGGAAGGCAAGAAAAGAACCCTCAATCCCATCTCCCTCCCTCGCTCCCCCTCCGCTCCTCTTTCCCCAGTGACCGCCGATTTGGCAAAGCAAATCTGATTCCAGATTCGCGGAATAAACCAGGGAAAAACCTTGAGAAAGGACATCGCCGGCGTCCGCACACCTCGGGCAAAGCCCGAATCTCCAGCCACCATCCCCACGACCCGCCTGGCGTTGACTTGCAATCCTTATTTTTTTTTTTCCCCTCTCACTCTCTCATCCGGCTTCTTGGAGAGGGAGGGGGTGTCACATCCCTTTGCCCCGCGCCCTTACCTTTCACAGAGGAGAGCATCCAGAAAAAGACGAGGTTCCCCAAGGTAAATCCACTTTTAATCCCCATGATTTTGCCCAAGATGCACAAGTCCGGGCGGCCGCATTTCCCACATCCCCTTTGCCCCAGATTTGCGGCGGCGGCGGCTTTCCTTGGCCAGGTGGTCTCTTTGCAGTAGCAGGAAATCCTTTGCATCTTTTCCTCCGAGCGAACGAGCGGAGCGAACGAGCTTCTCCCACACCGTCACCCCCAACAGGAACTGCTGGCTTGCCTTGTCTGCCTGCCTGCCTGCCTTCGCCGTTGCCCTCCCCCCCAACCCTTCTTCTTCGCCTTCTTTCTCCTCTTCCTCCTCCTCCTCCTCTCCTCCTTGCTCGCTTCGGTCCAAGGCGCAGTGGAGGAGTTCGCGCAGAGCGTGCGTGTGTGTGTGTTTGTGTGTGTGTGTGTGTGTGTGCTGATGGTGCGCGGTCACAGCTCCAAGTGAACGGCGTTTCTGGGATACCACAGCAACCTTGACGAGCAGGACTCAACCATCTCTCCGGCAGGGGCAGCGAGGCTCTCGGCTCAAGCAAGCCGGCTCTGCCGCCAGCCAGCCCAAGGCTGCCACGAACGCCTCGCCACTAGCTTCCCCGCTCTCTCGAAAGGAAAGGGGATGGAGGAGGTGAAAAGGGGGGGAGAGTTTCAAGAAGAACCGGAGCCAAGTGATATATTTAAGAATCACGAAATGAGCCACGGAAAGCAAATCTCAGGAGTGGAGCGCCAGGAAATTGACTAGACGCGCTTCGAAATTGACCAGACACGGTTCGAAATTTGACCGGCTTGTCTCTTCTCTCTCTCTCTCCCCTTGCTGGGGATTATTGACCAAACGTAGCTTCTTCTCTTTTCATTTCCCCTTTCCTATCCTTTCGCCACTGTTTAGGAAACCTTAGCGTGGGTGTGTGCGTATGTGCGTGTGCGTGTGTGTGTGTGTGTTACTCTTAATGGGTGTTCTAGTGCTAGTTTTTTTTTTTTTTTTTTGAGAAGGTTAGGAAAAAGCTAACCTTCAAGTAGAAAAAAATAAAATTAGAAATCCTTAATATCCTAAATCGGACGCTCGCGGGATAGGATTCAGCACCATCTTCAAGAACCCGTTTAGCAGACGTTTCTCCAGGTCCGCAGACTGACGGCAAGGAAGAAGAGAGGGCGCAGCTGCGCTGGAGCCTGGAACGATCGCTCAGCGCACATACACGCGCGAAGGGCGCCCGCGCTGGTGGGCACCTTCTTGTTCCCCACCCCCATTCACGGCTCCATGTGTTGCCCTTGGACTAGCAGGTTCTTGACTAAGGTTGATTTTAATACCAGCGACCAAAGGAGAGAAAAACAAGCTGGCTGAGTGAATAGGCGTCGATTTTGCAGCCGTCCACCACAAGCAATGCATACGCCTTCCCTTCCCGAGTGTTTCCCTGTCCTTCTCCATCAAAAGCCTCTTCTGGCTTCCTCTCCGTGTCCCCCCCCCCACCCGGGTTTTCTCTCCTCCCCCTTCTAGAGATTAGAGCCCAACCGTGGATCTTAAATTTTGCAAGTTGCCTGAAAGTGGTGGTGGAGGTGTGTGTGGGAGGGGAGAGGAAACGGAGCGGGTTGGGGGTGAGTGGAAAGAAAGAGAGACAGAAGAGCTTTTTGCAATTGAGGCGCGGAGAAGCGGGTGGGGAGAAGAGAGGTACCCAGCTGGAATTGCGAACAGGCGCGCTGGACTGGCCCGAAAGGGTTAAGATTGGGCAAAGAAAGAGCTTTTGCGCCATCTACCGTACGCCAAAGGAGTGCCGGCTTCTTTCTGACATCTGTAAGGGAGCCGGAGGCCCCGCTAAGAGAAAGCGGCGTTTTGGCTTCCACCACCACCATCATCATCATCGTCACGATGCTCGGTGAGGTCACGTTTTCTCAGCGAGCGCACGAGGGATGAAGCATGGGAGCAAAAGGATGAGAAAGCGTAGCTCAGGGGCAGGTGTGTGTGTGTGAGGGGGGGGGGGAGAGCAGAGTTCACCGGTTTTTTCCACAGCTGCTTCTGGCGCTCCCTTCCTCCAGCTTCACTTGTGAAAGCGGTGCAAATGGTGGGGATCGTGTGAAAGCGATGCTGGCTGGGTGCTGAGCAGAGAGAAGGGGCTAAGGGGAAGAAGGCGGGAGGGTGAGCGAGCAGGACTCGCTTCCTTGTCTTGTGGAACTGGCGCGTCGGTACAAACTCTTATGAGTAATCTTCGCTCTACTTGTGAGTTTGGCATCTGCATGTAGGAAAATTTACACCTGCTTTCATTTGATTGGTCTCCACCTTTTTAGAAGAGCTTGCTTTTGAGTAGATCTCGGTTTCAACAGGCTAAGTAAACTGTCTCGAAGTACAGTCAGAAATATAAGTTTCAGCTTTTCATCCAAGACTGAACCATAAGGTAAGGTCTCCATGCAGTTAGGTTGCATGACTCTTTATAACCATCATCCATTGATTTATCATTCCACTCTTCCAGGACATATTACAATCTTTGTGGTGATCTTTCCCTCCATTTCTAACCAAGGCCATTTTTAACATTTTTGAATTCAACAAGATGTGTTGACTGCCCACATACACATCATAACTGCAGAGAAAATTAAAAAAAAAATAAGGCATAGAGTTCAGGGATAGGACATTTGCCCTGCATCCAGATTAATTTTACCAGCTGAGTAGCTGGCATCTCCATTGAAGCTATAAAAAAATATCATGGTTGAAAGTCTAAAAGTCAGTAGCAATAATTCCAGCCTGGATTAATGGTGGAGAACCAGCAGACATCTACATCTTGCTTAGAACTCCCAGCAGTTCTAGCCAACCTATTTAATAGTGAAGGATGATGGGATATGGCTAGATATGGCTAGATTGAGGGATAGTCTGATCAAATGAGTTTTAGTTTCCTGTGTTTTAAAATATGTTCCTGAGCTTATAAAAGAAAAATCAGTGCTGTATATTTTGAAGAGGGAAATGTGTTTTCTTTCTATATTTTTCTCAAGGTAATCTTTTGTTAAACCATAGTTTGCTTAACCATGAATAAATCACAATTAGCTTCAATCATACATTCCACTTAAGCAAAAGAGCTTACTAATTAGATACATTATGCAGATTCACCCATCATATTTTATTTGTTTGTTTGTTTTATCTCACCTTCATTATTTTATAAATAAGATGCAAAGATACCTAATATTCCTTTCTCCTATTTTCCCCACAACAGCAACCCTGTGAGTGAATTGGGCTGAGAAAACGTATCCCAAAGTCACCTAGCATAGGGCTTCTCAACCTTTTCACCCACTGTACCACTTTTAGGATATGGCAACATGCGAGTACCACCAGTCACCTAGCAAGGTGTCAAAAACTTGATGACCCACTCCCCAAAAGGAAAAAAGTGATAAAGTACAGGTAGTCCTCGACTTACAACATTTTGCTTAGTGACTCTTCAAAGTTAGAATGGCACTGAAAAAAGTGCCCCCCAAGCCACAATCGAGCAAGATACCTGCCTGCCCGCCTGGCAGCGCTCTTCCTCCTGCCCGAGGTTTTCATTGTTGTGAGCATTTCTGTTGAGGATTGGCAGCAAGGGTGGGGTGAGGGGGGTGTTTGGTTTTTATTCCCCCCTACCCCCATCTGCTGGGTGGCTGCAGCAGGTTTTGGTCACTTCAGATGACCCTGGGACACTGTGACCATCATAAATATGAATCAGTTGTCAAGCATCTGAATGTAAATCACAAGACCCTGGAGATGCTGCAACATTCCAGCTGATTGGCGCTTCTTCAGGGCTCAACAGAAGTACCAGGATCAGCGCCGAGCTCCAGCTGAAGCCTGGCGCTGATCCTGGTGCTTCCACTGAGCCCTGACAGCCCTGCAGCTCCAGCCATCTCTTGCTCAGGCTTGTGCGGTGCTGTTAACGGTTCAGTTCATTCCCCTCCCCCGCTACCACTTTTCTAGGATGGTCACGTACCACCTGCCAGGTGCCAATGTACCACAGGTGGTACCCGTACCACTGGTTGAAAAGCCCTGACCTAGCGGACTTTTGTGCTTAAAGTAAGACTAGAACTCACAGTGTCCTGGTTTCCAGCCTGGTGTCTCGCTTGCTGACTCAGGAATTCTGGGAGTTGAAGTCCATGAGTCATAAAAGAGCCAAGGTTGCCTACCTCTGTACTAGACCAAACTGATCAAATAAATCATCTTTACCACTTAGTGCAATATGTGAATTTAGCATATCACTGAAACAAACCTGGAAAGCAAAGATTATGGATTGCTTGCTTCGCTGCTTAATTCCTTCTGGCTGTTTCTTAGGATTTTGCATTCTTTCAATTGTCTTCCTAGTTTGGCTTGGGATTCAGCATCCTACAACTGGGCCTGTCCTTTCTACCTGCTCTTCACCCATTTTGCTGGTTTTCTGAAAGCAAAATGATTTGTGCTGCTGGCAGAGTCCTCTGCTGGTAGAAAGTAGTCTCAAGCAACAGAAATAAATTTCAGCCATAGAAATTATTTGTGCCTCACCATCTGATCCTTGGATTAGGATCAGATGGTGAAATGTATACATACAGTATACATTTCAGAAAGTATTTTTCAATTATAGATCCAACTTAAAAGCTGGGCTCCCACAGTTTACAATCTGAAGTACCTGCTTAGAGTTAGATAAGGGCCAAGAGAACTCAAGGGGAGGTCCAGGTGGCTATGTATGGATTCTAAGCTAATCCCCCTTTTAACTCTGCCTCCAGTTCTGTCACTTATTGGGCTATCTCCAATAACAGCTTTCCTCAACCCAGTAATTTTCAATTTTCACAATGAATCTCATTATCTCTTGCCAGCAAACCCATAAATGTTAGGAGTTGCAATCTGATGTATTTGAAGGTACTGTAAATCCCCCATCTTGACACTGAAAAGAACAGGGCAGTTTCCTTCCCTACATGCTTCTATCAAGTATAATTTGAATAGGTGTTTCCCATTGTCTCCCCCAGTGATGAGAAATGAGAAGTATTGAAATGAGAAGTCCTCCAGGATACTGGATCTAAAATGCTTGTTGATTACCTGAAATATCAGAAATAAAGCACTCAGTCTCCCAGCCTGGTCCATAGCTCATATTTCCATGTTGGAGAAAGCTGAGTTTGTCATAAAGGAATGCTGGCAAAAATAAGGCATCAGGACTACTTTCACATAATGTCCTTTCCCACTCAGAATTGTACTTCTTTTGAATCACTGAAGTGTATTTGAGAAGGGTGAATATATCAACTTCTATTTCTCTGTTTCTTATTTTTATGAATCTGTTGAATTCTGTTTGCAAAGCTTGAGGTTTAT